GAAAACCGAGTGTGATAGAAACTTGTATAAATACGAAGCGAGAATGTAATTATTTTATGAACAAACGCATTCTATGAAATGAAATGAAATGAAATGAAATGAAATGAAATGAAATGAAATGAAATGAAATGAAATGAAATACAGAGTCTGGTCTTTGAATTCGTGCAACACCGGTCGCCTTTTCCATCTTTCTAACCGGAGAAACGCGTGTTTCCAACGGCTACCTCGAACAGATCGAATCCGAGCGAGCCGTGGAACGATTTCGTGAAAAATTTTACTCGAAAATAACCGAACGTCGAAACGGAGAGTCGCGGAAGAGTCGACCGGGGGAACGCTGGCGCGGGTCCAGCTTGCTGAATCGAATGAAAAATCTCGCGCGAAACGCGATGTCTCATTCTTGCGTTTCGAACACCGTCGAATTAGAATTCCGTCGAATCTCTGTTCTTCGACTTTCGATCGCGTAAACGCGTCCCGCGGAACGAAGAAAATTTCAAGCGAACGGAACAACGGTAAGTACACTGCCGAGAGCGAACGAAATTCCCGTGAAAAATGCAGTTTGGTATGCGCGCTTTGCTATACGATTTTTTCTCACTGGCAAATTCCTGCGAACTGTTTGCATCCGACGATCGAAACTTCTCTCCGCGTGCCGAGATCAGGACAAACATGCGTGTAATCGACGGTAAACTGGAACTGGAGCGGGTATCGTTCGCGATACCAAGTTCATTTCATCCCGATAGGTCGGGAAAGATTGCCGACCGATACACTCGACGTATCGGAATCCCCTTCTGACTTTGCACAACTTTCGTTTATCCTAGGCGATCACCCCTGGATAACTCTGAACCCTTTTCGTAGATCGTACGGTGTACCATCTTTCCTCGTGTATCCTCGAATCGTTAACGAACTCTCTCCCCGTTCTCGCGAATATTGTCGGTAACGCTCTTTGTACTCGTAGATTTGACGGGATTCGGTAGAAAATCAAACCGTCGCGGATTAATCAAGTAAAAAGGAGAAAGCCTGTACACTTTGTCAGTATTCGATACGAACCTCGTCGAAAACTTGGCACGGCGGATGCATACAAGTCGTCTATAAATAGAAGGCTGCTTAGATTTTGAGAAGAGCGGGTTTTTGCGTCGCGACGTCGACCATCTCGGGGGAATCCCGGTGAAGATGCCGATGGGACGATTCTACCGACATCTAGATCGGCTCCGCGAAGTCACTCGGTATTTTAATCACCGATGGCACGTACGAATACCAATTACACGCAAGACCAACGTACAATACTCGTGGCCTAATTTTTCAAAGCGGCGACCAGCCTTTTTTCTATTGCGCTCGACACACCATCGACGGACTATCTGTATCTACCTGCGAATCAATCGAGAGCCGATCCACTCGCGATCGGTTGAAATCTTCCGCGGCAACTTTTTCTGTAGAACAACTCGGTCGTTCGGTTTGAAGGAGAATAAAATCGATCTTGACAAAAGCACCTATATTCGTCGTGAACTACATCGTATCATTCAATAATGTTATAAAATTATTTTTGAACGAAGCACGCGTGTCGACTTCAGGCTTGCAGTTCGACAAGACTCGATAGATCTTATTCTTATCAGCTGTGTGCACGATGCAAGGAGTATTTAAATCTTAAGAAGCATTTTCTTTCTACAACTTTTGCCTCGTACGCTCGATACTAGAAATTCAGGTCCGTTGTTGCCGGTACTCTTTTGTGCGTTGGCATTTCCGAGTCGTCGTGATTATCCGTGTAGCATACAGGACAATAAAGATCACCGTAACAGCCCAAGCATTTCTCTAGATTTCGAGTCTGATTGCACATTACGCACGTAGGCTTTTCCTCCTCGTCCTCGTCCTCCTCCTCCTCCTTCTCCTCCCGTTCCTCCACTTCGTCTCTGTCGTTTTCATCCGTATGCTTTGCTACCTACAATAGCGATGTCAACGTAAGAAGTTTATACCGATATATTTTCCTTGAATTTTAAACGTTACGTACGTCGACTTCCATTTCCTCCAGTTCGTCTACGTCTGCTTCGTACTTTTTCTCGAGTTCCGCTTCCGCGAGAGCTTTTGCAATTAATTTTTTCGTTACGTGCTCCTCTTCGTCGTCGTCAGCTTCGCTGGAATGCTAAAATACCAAAGTGTTTATCGCGTAAAGTATAGAGTTTAATGGGGACTATTAGGCGCAAGGTTTACCTTTTTGCGAGTATCGTCCAAACCTTGCAGCTTTCTCAGTCTCGACTCAACTTCGCGAACGGGATCGTTATCCGAGGGCAATTCCAACTGTTGTAAATACTCCTGTATTAAATCGTCGGTTTTCTGCTGATCCGTCCTGGTATCCACTCTATGTATCTGAAGAGAATGCAGTGGCTGTACACCGAACAGTTGTAACAATGATTTCGTATCCCTTCTCTTTATATTTGCTTACATTTATTTTGCTATTACCGGCACCAGGATCCTCGTCCTTCAACAATGCCAGCTTTTTCCTTATTTCGTCTACGCTTAAAGTTGTAGTTTTGTCCTCCTCTTTCAACTTTCTTAATCTATCGACAATCTCCTGGTCGATTGGCTCTAAACCAGTCTTAAATTTATCCCAGTGATTGGTGTGTTTGTACATTACAATGGGCGGCTTTGCTGGATTTTCCAAAGCTTCTAACCTGATGGGCAAATCGATCCATCGAAATATCTATAGAACTGTAAAGACTATACCGCAAATGCGTTACCTTTTGGTAATATCCACCGGTGCTAGAGGTTCTTGGGGCTCTTGAGACATCGCGATATCATTAATTGTACCTTCTTTCCTTGTAGAATTGCGTTTATTATAACAAGGTCCACAGACTTTTTTTACTCCCCTATTTGGAATATCACACTTATATTTGAGGCACTTACTACAATATGAAAAACCACAACCTGGACAAGCAACCTACATGGCATGACAAACAAAGCAAAAAGTATGAAAATAAAATAACGTTTGGCGGAATTGCAGAAGGGATTACGCTGTGATTACAAACCTTAATCTTTATACAAAGTATTTTACGCTATAATAATGTAACATAACCTACGTTAAGGATCGACGCAATGAAAGATCGCTCACCTCTTTAGTAAAAAATGAGAATTTCTTTTGACAAACGTTACAAGACATACTGACTTGAGTTTTTAAGCATCTTACTAGGATGTCATTTCCAAACTGACAGTTTCTAGCATGTTCCCTACAAGAATTTCTGACGTATAAACCAATAATTTATTCGAAACAGACTATAGAAGTGAATTCGAACGCAGCATGCATGGTTCCCTTCAAATACATGAATAAGTACGTACACTTATTAGTCGTGTACCGAATGCTTAGTCACGTAAGGTGTATAGGTAGATATATGTATACGTACACGACTGCTACGTAAAAAATCATCGTCAACGTAAACTAAAGATCATTAGAAAATATTCTACAAACAAAATTTCTTAAAATCATTTAAATTCTACAGCATCCGTTTTTTCTTTATACCACCAATTATTTGTAGTATAATATTTTTCATTACTGGCAAGGCAGTAGTATCGTAAATCAGCGTAATAGCGGACCATTTTACTTATATACACTTGCCTAACGATCGATCATTCAATTTCGAAATACATTAAAATCACGCGTTCCTGATAACAGCAGCTAAAACGACGGTGATCTCACAAGGCAAAATCGAGCATTTTCCCTATCCTCGCAACGAGTAGGACAAGGACAGTCCGAGTGTGCGACAAGGATAGAAGATTTTGGTCGTGGGCGATAGTAGCGCCATCTAGCGGACGGGCGTTTTCGAAGCTTTTCCCTATACCCGCAATGTGTAAGACAAGGACAGAGCTAGCGTGCGACAAGGACAGAGACAGTCTCTCTCGCGCCACCTGCTTGGAAAAAG